TCATCGTGATGCTTGTTAATTAAGATTCCATTAATTTAACGACGTGAATTTCTTACCATATCTCCATAGTGTGTGGAAATGCATTTTGCCTTGATTTGACTTTCTCGGCGACTACAGTTTTTCTAGTTTTGTTTTGCGCCTTTATTTTTCCTTTTCTGTTTCACTCTCAGCAACCGCGGTTTTCATAATTTTATTTTCCTCATCCATGTCTGACGAGTCTTGAAAATGGGTGCCTATTTTTGAGCGCTCGAAACATGATTTTTTTTTTTTTTACTGACTTAATATTTTTGAAACAAATGAAGTTATGTATCAAATAAAAGTCATTTTTATTGTAAATGCTGCTATACTCATATGATATATTGAGCCATTACATTAATCCATTTATAAACTCATTTACCCACCTATTCCATTGATCACGTGTGCGGTGCGCTCCATGAAGAAATCGAACTTCACTTATCACGAAAGAATTTTCAGCGTGCGAAACAGTTAACGAACGCTTATATTTGTTTACTCGTGAAAAAAGTTGGAACTATTCCCCTGCCGTTTCATTTCAAGCTAAGCACCGAGTAAGACAGAGATTATTCGAAATAAACTAAACCTTGTAACGATCAACTCTGAGTGACAGTTCTCATTGAAACTCAACCATTTTCTTCAAGTTTCACCTTTCCAATGAACTTCTTCGGTTACAGTTGAAGTTAAATTGATTTTTTTCTTTCTTTATAATGACATTGTACAATGAATTCAGTCTTGTTTCAGAGATGTTATATATTTTATTATACAAGGGTAAATTTATGCTGTACAAAATGAAAAATCACTATTGTTTTTGTGTAGATAATTCGGAGAGAGAGAGAGTAACATGAATTTGTTTGCTCATCATTTGAGTTTGCTTTTAGTAAATCACGATTAATGTCTTTTGGAATTTGTATTGTCAAAGGAAAAAAATAAAGAAATGATGTATTGCTTTTCTTTGTGTTTTGGTGTTTATTTACCTCGAACAAAAATTTTTTTGACATAACTTTTAATTTTTATTTAACGTGATTTTTCGAAACTCTTTCGTCAAGGAAAATTAAAAAGTCACCGTTAAGGTGCTTTAGAATTAAAGCAGAGCTATAATTTTATGCTATGTTTACTATCTTGCCTTAAAGAATTATCTGAGCTTTAGAACGGACGAAGAACATAAACATTTTAAAAGGTATTGAACTTCTTTGGAAACTGCCAATTTTGCTAAATTTTTCCACCTAGATGAAAATTATGAAACTCACTTTCTAATTCTCAGTTTTTACAAATGTTTAAGAGCCTAGATAATGCAACATTCGAGGAAGTTTTTAAAAAATCAAAAAATTAGACATCAAGCGCTTTTAACTTTCTCAAAACTGTGGCTTTTCATATTGACGTTTTACACCATTTTTAGAATAAGCATTGAGTTGTTGTTAATTTACGTCGCACTAGAGCTGCACAATGGGCTGTTGGCGACGGTCTGGGAAACATCCCGGAGGATGATCCGAAGACATGCCATCACAATTTTGATCCTCTGCGGAGGGGATGGCACCCCCGCTTCGGTAGCCCGACGACCTGCGCTCGAAGTCGAACACTTTAAGGTAGCACAGTTTAACGAGGACCAATACCGCACACCCTCGGTCCCTGAGCAGACTGATCCAAGTCGTCACCCACCCGCACACTGACCGCAGCCAGTGATGCTTGACTTCGGTGATCCGCTGGGAACCGTGTCTTAACGAGAAATAAGCATTGAGAGCGCTGGCTTTAGATAGTTTTAAATTAACCCTTAGTCATGGCTTTAGATAGTTTTATATTTCCCTTAGTCATGAGTAACTGTTATAAACTCGCAGCTGTTGTAAAAATAGCATATTATTCGTAAAAAAAAACCCGACCCAACTCAACGGTCAAAGGGATGGAGACGGAGAGGAAAAATTCTAAATACGAGTATGCTTCTTATCCTTATTTAATTATCACAAATAAACTGATGATGAATATTTATTCCAATTTATTGTATCTTTGGGTACACGTAAAATGCAAGGCCGCTACCCAATCACGATTTGAGATATAAAGCGTGAGGTATTTTAGATTCTCTATTCATTTTTTTTCTGACAAAACTATACCTCTGCAATCAACAATTTTTGATAAGTATTTAAATAGTATACAGTTGCCTGTTTTTAGATTTCGGATAACTAACTGCAATTAACGTTAAAAGAATTTTTGAAGCTTAAAAAATCGGTGTTCATTAGTTTAAACTTAAACTAGATTTAAAAATATATATATATATATAGAAATTGAGAAACGTGTCGTTTACGCTATAGCGTGTCGAACGTTATAAAGCTAGATTTTAATAAATCTAAAAACTGAGAAACTTGTAGTTTTAAATTACTTGCTTAAAACTACAAGATTCAACATTTTACTACTCCAAAGTTAGAGGAAAAATACTTAGTCTTAAAAATCAAGCGCTATTTCCCCATATCTAATAAATGGACCCCTTTATTTTAAGGTATTCTACAAAAATCAGCTTACCGACATGCAATGTGCGCTCTTCCCGGTACTAGGCGCTATTCAGGGACGTCACCTAAACTGAGCAGATTGGGCTGCAGGGCTGCCGTAACGAAAAGGTTAAAACAGACAAAAATCATAAATATTTAAAAAATTGACTTAAAAAAAATACTAATTTGGCGGTATTTTTTCCCCACGTTGATAAAAATCGTTAAACTGAATGAATAATTTTTTATCAACCCAAACAATGCGGAGCAATTTCTGAAATGCTAAAAATTAAATTAAAATCAATTTCGCTAAACTACGGCTTTCCTCCATATTGCTTGTTTCTATACCTAGCTTAGAGGATGCAGGCGCCAGCTGAGAGTGACTATACTCAACCTAATAGTTATGAATAATTGTTTCTATTTCATGAAAGTTACAAAAATAGCATATTTTCTGCTAAAAAGCTACTTCCTATGTGAACAGATTCTTCTAAGAAACAGTTTTAAAAGATGTTCTCTCAAAAAGCCCACACAATAGAGATATCTAAGATAACGTCGCTTCACTTATGCCTACTGAAACTGTATGGATGATCAATCTGTTATATCAACAGATTAGAATGTTTTTCATTTCAAATAAAAATAGTGCAGCCAATTGTTTGCAATTAACTACACAATATTACAGCGATTGATTTAATAATAATCAAGTGATATAGTTCGGCCTCTGGATCGGATATTTCTATATCGTTGAGCAAGATTAAAAAAAAAAAAATCCTTCTAAATTCCTTTCTTTTCATAGTTGTATTTTGGGCCATTTTTTTCCCTTCAAAAATTGAGGCAACTACAACAATCACCAAAGAATTCAAACAATTGCTTATAAGACGTCCACAGGGCATAAGAGCTACAAGTTGTAAGAGGTTGAAGCACAGCGACTGGGAAACAACTGTCCCTCTCGGTCAATCGGGCAAAACAACTGACAAAACGTTCTTTATTAGAAGAAAAAAAAAGTATTTTGTTTTTCGCCCAAAGCACAAATTTTGGTTTAAGTTTGATGAACCGAAATTTTGACCTCTTTCAAGAATTTCCTGTTGAAGAGAGGGCCTAAGATTTTTTTCCCCTTCATAATTGTTGGCCAGGTAAAGTAATTAAGGAATTGCATCATAGTAAACCATTGCGCAATGTGTTGTTGATTACTTCCTCAAACGTGTGAGACTATTACTAGTGTTATAAAAACAAAGAAAAAATATGTGAGGTGTTTTTATTGCCTCAAATGTATAGTATAATTAATTTTTTTTCCAAGTTGCATACGTAGTTTATTGACAATATAAATTATTATGATCCGATTAATACTTATGCATAAAAAAGTTAATTATTGTGGAGATAATAATGTAAACGGTTACTCTAAATTGAAGTTCTCGCAGCTGAGAGCTTTATTGTTCATAGTAATTTTGTGCTTTACTCACGTTAAGAGACACGCATAAATTACTCCCATCAGCTATTCGCCTCCGGAATTTTCCCCACCAGACATTACTTCGCTTTAGCCTTGACTTCGCCTCCTGTATAATGAGTGATTAAATATTAATCAGTAATGCAATTACTGATTAAATTCTCGAATGAGATGCCGAAAAATCGCAATCGGCAATCAAAAAAACGAACACCTCGTTTGTAGATACTGATCTAATGATTGAATTTTCGTTTGCCAGAATGTTATCTTCATACTTTGAGTTATTCCAATTAAATAGCCATAAGTGTAAAAATTCAAGGGATTGAAAAAAAAGGGGTTATAAAAGCTTCTATGTAACCATAAAAAGCGGTAAAAGTTTTTCTTTCCTCCCAGCCAACGGATTTTGGATTCCTAAGCCTTTTGAATTCTTAAATTCAAGGGTAATATAATCTTAATAGGGGCAATATATACACCACATCTTTTTCCAAAATGCTGCTTATTTATATCAAGCTATTCCTTGATATTGTTTTCAGATAACTTTGATTTTTATTAGATAATTACAAACTACTCTAACATCTAGTTTCCTTCTTTTCAAGCCGGAACAATCTCTTAAAATGTGGCTTAAATTGCCACAATCACTTTAAACAAGGAAAATATGATTCAGAAATAAAAATCAATTTCATGAAAAAAATTAAAGAAAACATGTTTTAAAAGCATTGTACAAATTAATGTAAAAAATTAAATTATATTTAATATTTTTAAAATGACACTTGTTTTCCATTTTTTTGCGCGAGATAATTATTACGATTATAATCAAAACTACTTTAGCTTGTTGTATTTTGTAGCCATATTTGATTTCATTCGACCTAGTATTTTTCTGGTGTAAAAATTTCCCTGAACAGCGGAGCATTTTTCAAATTTTTTTCTAAGTATCACAAAGTTTTCCTTTGTTGATGCTGTTACGTCTTTTATCTCTATAAACGTCACTGTATTGTCACTTTTTTTATTCGGACATGCGGTAATATACTTTTAAAATAATAGAACAAACTTAATAATTAAAAAGTCGGAGTCATAAATTGTTTAAAAAAAATTTTTTTAATACACAACTGTACAAAAAGTACTTACATCAAACGTTACATTCACTCAAAATCCTGCACCATACTGATTTTTTTGTTGATAATTGACTTTTTTCCAAAAATGGATTATCTAGTTCGAAAAATGTTACTTGAAAATAGTTTACAAGTGGCAAGATTGAGTATTTATGATCTATTTACAAGCAGTGCAGTTCACTCAAATATGACTCGAAAATTGGAAAAGTCATTGAATGGTAGAAAAAAACTATTACTAAAGAAATTTGAGCTGCAATAAAAGCTTTACAAGGAAAAAATTTTATACTTTGTTTCGGAAATTGGATTAAAGCATAAAATTAGTGCATTCAATCGACTTCAACACCAACATGACTTGCCGAAAGGCACTCTTCAGATGTAGTGTCTTTCTTGGAATGATTATTTGCATAAAGATTTGTTAACGTAGCACCTATTCAGATATCCTTCTGAGAGATATTTGCCCTTGAAATTCACTCCAATTTCCAATGTATATCATTATTTTATGTGTTAGAAAGTTAAAGAACATTTTGATCTTTAAAATCAGCTTTTTCTCACGGGCCGAACATGGTTGAAAGGTTACGCTTCGATAACGTGATTAAAAACTTTGTTTTCAAAGTAACCAATCAATCAAAAGAAGAAAATTCAAGCAAATTTTGAGCTTATGGAGGTAGACTTTTCTTCTGTTTCATAAACTACCAGAAATATTAGCTGGTCCCATGAAAGCTCTCGTCATTGAAAACATGGCCGGGAATTTCCCTTTTGTACATTACAAATAATTTACCATGCCTTATTTGTGTTTTGTCAATGTAGAAAATTGTCCTACGTTGTCCGATTGTCATAATCTAACGGTAAACATTTTGTCTGGCTCACCATCGCGTCCGGTGGTTCTGTCACGTGATCGTCTGGGCCGTTCCCTTGGATCTTGAACCCAGTCTTCGATTCTATTTAAATGTCCTCCGCTGATGGGTCGTCTTGGAGGACCGTGAAAAAAATAATTTGGGTTTTCTCTGGAAGTTCTTCCCTGCGCGGAATGCTCGTGCGCAGGACAAGGCACTGCTGATCTATTTATTGCCACGTCATCAATGTAACTGCGCATTCGATCACGTGGAAAAGAACACGAAGAACTTCTGGTTTTGCTTGGTTGCCTTTCTTGTTGGCGACGGTTGTGATGAGGATGAGCAGGATGAACCTCTTCTTCAATAGAAAAAGCAGGATTATCATGTTCCTGGGGCCGACGCGCCAAATTGGCTGAATTGGTAACAACTGGTGGCAAATTGTGTGGCGAATGAACGGGGGATCTTTCTCTGTCCTCATGGGGGCATTTCCAACTACCATCACTACTTTCACCACTAGTGCCTATACCCAAATCTTTATCACCATTTTCTTGCCAAAGGTCGCCAAGCTTCGAGCCTTTACTGCTGTTGTCATCTACATCTTTCACTTTCAAAGGGGGAACAAATCTTGTTTCCGGTGCTAAAAATCCGTTTGCAGACATTAATCGAGGGGGTTGAACAACACCGTACTGAGTAAAGTCTGCAATCGGCAAGCTTGGGATTGGAGCTTTTTCTGGAGAATGTAGTGGATTGCAAATACAGCTGTGCGAGAAATGACGACAGATGGAACATACTTTTGAATTGAAACACGAATCGGAAAGGGATAAAAGTACAGGAAGCAGTAAAATTCCATGCAGGGCTCCAAACAAAATGACTAAAAACACAGTTTTGAAGAAGGTTAGAAATATGTAAGATGGAGCAAATATTAATGCGATGACCCCTAAAATAGTCGAAATGCTACCTTGAAAGATGGGCACACCAAGAGAATGTAAAGCTGCTCTGATACCATCATTTGGCGTCTTTTTCTCTGAAGAAAAGTAAGCATAAGAAATATGAGCTGAATAATCCACCGAAAACCCGATGCACATAATTAGATTTATCATAGATATTGAATCCAGATTGACGCCCCATAAAGTCATATATCCAATAACTCCAACTTCAATTGATATTATAGAGAACGCAACAAATACAGCACAATGCAAACTTGGAATAAACAGCAATGATATAAATATCATGACAGCAACAGCAACACAGATTGACTGTATAGAAGTATCTCTAACTAGAATAAACTGATCAAAGTAGATGAAATACTGCTGAAACACATTAACAGAAAATGGTTGCGTATCAGCTATCTTCCTGAGCTCCAATACCATGTCTTTCTCTTTGTTGGCATCAATAATATTGTAGGCTTGAATTACATACCTCGTGGCAACAATTTTACTTTTATCCTCATTAAAAAGAACATCGTGCCTGAAGTTTTGAAATAGGGGGTAGTTGAAAAACACATCTAAAATCTTTATAAAATCAGCTGAATCCGATTTGTTGTAAGACTGCAAAATGAAAGAAGTGCGAGTATCGTTTGTAAAGCGGTTAAAAGCTCTAAGCCACGATTCTGTCAAATCAGGACCTGAAACATAGGGACTGGATTCGAACTTTTGCAGCATGCTTTCTATCTGTGTCTGTACTGTTTCATTGGAATAATCTAATGTTGCGTTGACCACCACCTGAATCCTGTAAGCATATTTCCTAAAGTATTTATCTTCTCTTTCGTAGAAGGTGACAGAATAGGAATCGCTCCTGGATAGCTTGTATCGTTCTAGTCCTTCACGTACTTGAAGGCATCCCCATATTCCAACAGCAAGGTACATCATGAAACACAGGACCACTGAAGCTTTTACCCATGGTTTACTGAGGAAGACTCCCATGTAGTCTCTGAAGAAAACCATTAAGCTGTGCTCCTGGTTGTCCATAGGATTGTCAGGATCATCGTCGTTTTTTCCTCCAGTACAAAAAACTCTGTAGCACCAGCTCTTGCCCTCTGAAAATAAAAATTTTATGTCATTTATCTTATAGGAATTTTGAATTTGAATCATAGCTCAACATACATACATGAAATATATAGCTTTACACATGCAATGAGGTACACGCGTACAATACAACGTGCAGTACAACAGACCACTCTGAATAATTTTTGACCTAATAATCAGATCTTTATGTTTTAGGACTCAATCTTAATGGTTTGAGGAGGTAACCATATGCTAATTAATGTGAACGATATTTTAAGTTACAAAATCAGACACAAAAAACTTACCTCTATATAAACATATCTTTTCACCCTCTCTGACCAGACTATTTTGATCATATTTTCCAAATTGCGGCTACCCTCTATATTTTGGAGGTCAAAAATCCAAATTCGTAGAAAAAGTTATGTTTATTCAAAGAAAGTAACGTTAAGATCCCCTCATTAGATCGAAAGGTATTCAGAGTGGAGTTTTTTTTTTCTGCATTGTACTTAGAAAAAATAGATTTTGTTAACAGTTCCCTCATTTGCTCGCTGTGATCGATCGTTAAAACAACCTATTCATCCAAACAGTGAAGTTAAAGCTATAAACAAGTTATAACTTGGATTGTACAAATTATGCATATAATCCGAGTCATAAGGTAAGAAATATTCTAAGTCTTTTTTTTCTGGGGGGGGGCACTATTTAGAGGATTTTTTATATAAAACTAATGCAATTTTGTGTTATAGAAGCAAATGACTAGAAAAACATTCTAATCTTAAGTTAATAGGAATCAAGGTATTTGAGCCCACTGAAAACTATTTTAGTTCTTTTCATGAAATTTTTTAAAAGTAACTAATAACTTGGGGGAGCCAATTTCCTCAAAATCCGAACAGGATCTAAGTTTTCGTAAATTAGGTACTTAATACATAACTAAACAAATGTGCTTTATTCATTAAAATAATTATAAAACTTACTACAGAATCTAAAGTATTAATCCTCTATAGATAATAATAAACTTGAGGGGAAAATTTAGTTTCACTTTTAAAACATAAGCTTTAATGAGTCTAGAGTAGAGAAAATTTTAAATTTTCAGTTAGTTGGCAGTGGGCGGTAAATTTATGACTTATTAGCCACTTTTTCCCCCAAACCTAATGGGTGGGTGGATTAATATCGATAGGTCCTTTTCATTTAATAGCCAATTTTTGCAAACTCTTAGCTTGGATTAAATTATATTTTTGAAAAATTTATATTAGAAACAATCTACGCTTATTAAAAGTTAATTCAACTATGAAAATAATTTAAATATATGACAAAATTCAGTCAAGCATACTGACGTACTGAAGAACTTTATGTAAAATTATTTGGAGAGGCAAATTATATTTACGCTATGCAACTTGAAATATGAATTGTTAAAAATGAGATCTAGTTTGAGTCCAGCATGATGCTTTGATTCAATCTAGCTCTTAAAATAATGAATTACTCTAATGAATATGTAATTTTTTTTATATAAAAATTCAAAAAATTTATTTTTGTAATTTAAAAAGAGCTTTTTATTTTTTAATCTCTTTTGAGCCGGTATGGTTTTAAAAAAAGTATATTTGATTGACTAATAAAAGTTATTCCAAGTCATTACTATGATTATTATGATTGTAATCCTGCACGCAAAGTATTATAGTATCCATTTCTTAAAATGTTACTCTAAAGAAAATTAAATTATACTAATTTTTGCGATATTTCACAGAATTGTTTGCATATATATAATGGCAGTGCTTATGTTAAACGACTATAAAAAATTCAGAACTTTAAGAAATTTTAGATAAATTATAGAAAGTAAAAAAAAAGTTCGTCATCGATGCTTTATCAATGAAGTTTTTGCCCCTAATAAATATTTTTCACCATTTGAATAACAAACCTAGTATTCCTCTTTTTTTCTTATAAACAACGCATGCAAACATAAACTTAAAACTTTGATTGTTAATTAATTATAGTTGTGAAATACCATTTAGTTCCAAATTAGTTTCTTGTCTCATGTATTGTTTTATTATTTTAAATGCATTTTTTTACATGTTTGAAGAAACAAATAAAGCAGTATATCTACTTTTTTTGCCAAAAAAAAACAGTTAAAAACTAGCTTACCAAAAAAAGTTTTTAAATTTTTTTTTACAAGTAAACTAAAATAACTTTTTTAACAAAAATGATCTAAAACAAAGTCTTGGTTATTTTGAAAATATTTACTTAAACTAAAGCTCATGGATGAAAGCAATGGGAGACTTAAAATTTCTGGTTTTGAATCAAAATTACTAAGTACTAAATTTTTTTTTAACGGAAGTAAATACTAATTGAAAGTAAACTATGCCATCGCATTCAATAAGCATTTTAAAATTTTAATTTTAAAAAGAAGCGAAAGAAGATTGCAATTGCAGATAAAAATATCTATCTTGAATTCCAACTTGATTAACCTGCATCCATATGGCTTTTTTCCAAAGCGTATTCTTCAAATCAAATAACTTCCTCATTTGGTTTTGGAATCTGGCATTGGAGGAAGTAGAAACGAAATGAAGTGATGGGGGATGAGGAGATGGTATTTAGAAACGGGGAGTCCAGCTTGAGGGTACGGAGTAGTTAGACATTAAATAATTCCACTTTCTCCCAGACCCTGTGACCCAGAAAAAAAAAATCTTTTAGTTGAAGTGGACCGCTTCGAGCAACGAAAACACTTTCCTTTTTCCTCGTGATTAGTTTTAAAGTGGAGCGTTTAGCTGAAGAATTCATTGTGATCATTTTGATCCTTTTCTTTTTCTTTTTTTAACTCCTAATTTTTCTCAACGCTTTGGACACTTTTTGACAGGACGTGTGTTTAAAAATAGATTTATTGCTCAAAAGAATGCAGAAAATTGAACTGATAAAAAAAATGTTACAGATGCAATTAGAAAATGAATTTTGCTTGCTCCGTAACGATGGTGGATTGATTTAATGTAAAATTTAGCGTCACAAGTTCTAACACAAATGTTCCACAGTCAAACAATTTCTAAAAATGCAATATTTAAGCAATTAACAATGTACGAAAATTAAAAAAACTGCTCCAAACACAAATTAGATAATTGCTAAAATCAAATTACCAAAAACAGTAACCAATACCAGAATTAAACTGTTCCAAATAGAAATGTACCAGAACTAAATAACTCCCTGTAACCATAATTAAACAACTAATCTAAACGGGTACAAACATTCAGTGTTTCGTTTTAAATTTAAAATCTCATATTTTAAAATAATGCATTAAAAATAGCCTTCATAACTTTTTTTTTATTCTCCTTATAAAGAATTCAAATTTGAATTGCCTGTAAGAAAAACTACACACAATGAACAGAGATTGTCTGAATATATAGGAGTTTGGCAACTTTCAGATCCAAATTATACTGCGCTGTTTGAAAAAAGGCCCGGCGACATTCCAGTCAATTTTAAAACCCAAAATAAATGTTGTTAATAAATTTAATTAACTTTTAATTGTTGTTAATTAACTTAATAAATTTAATTTGAAGAAAGGAAAAGTATTTCTTCAGTCAAACCATTTCATGAGGGTCTGAAGAGATAAAAAGTTCTAAAACTGAATGGAAACAACTCATCCATATGTTCAATGCTCTTTTAGTTTCTATATTACTTATATCGTATGATAGTTCCATGAGTACTATTTATTAAACTTTGTGAATTAAATGTACGCTTTTGAGAATGGAAAACCGATTTTTAAAACTTTAGCCAGTTTATCACTTAAAATAGGCGGGAGAAATAATACAGATTTTCGCAACAAATCAACAATTTTTTTCGATTGAAATCAGAGGTGTGATTGTACAAAAGACTTTTTAAACGAATTTTTAAGTTAAAATAATGTTTAATTGCAACCTAATAAATTAAAATCAGTGGTAGATTATACATTTAGGGTTTTCGATTTAAGTATTGGGAATTGCATTAAAACGAATCAGTGTTTTCTTAAATAGAGTCTTTTGAAAAATATTTATCCATCATCGATACAATTTATTTGCAAATGTTCAAAAATTCATGAGATGTAATTTAATTTTGCCATATAATTTCAGCAAATTGCTAAGTAACAGCTGAAGAATTTTTTTAATGTAAATACTTACTAACACACTTTCTTTTCCCTTTCTTTTTTTTAAACATGCATGAAATATTTAAATAAACAATACTGCTCACATCTAATCTCAAAATTATTATTCTCGTGAATAGAAATTTTGCTATGCTTAGAAATTATTTTTATTTATAACGTTTAATTCTTCTTTCTGAAATATACCACTTACAAAATATGATTATTGTTAATTTATCTGCTTATTTCTGTAAATTGTATGTTAATGGTTGCAAATTGGAATTCTAAAATAGTAAAATAAATGTATTACATTTTAAATGAAATAAAATAAAATAAATGGGGGGGGGGGAATAACAGATTAGGCATTTGGTATCACCGAGAAAAAAAATCAGCGCTTTCCAGAATCTAGTTAAAACGTAACTGTTTATCATCATCGTCATAATCATGGGATTATGCTCCAAATTTCCCTCATTATTTAATTTAGACTTACAATTTCAGCAAATTATTAAGATTGACGTTTCTGTTTCTCTAGAACTGGAGAATTTGAAAAATTCTCATGCCAAAGGAAAATAATTTTATACTTTTTTTATATTATTTAATAAATTAAATAAACAGTAATGTTTATTTCTATTCTCAACATTTTTTATTATTTTTTGGGCAAGTAGAACTTTGCTACGGCTCAAAATTGTTTATAAAATTTAATTCTTGATTTTTTAATATGGAACTAAATAAATCTATGTGCTTGATTTCAATTCTATTATAATGCAGATTAATGCAATAAAAATGAAATAAAAAAATTTACTAGAATATATTAATTTCTTTTACTTCTTTTAACTTGAAACAAAATTTATTATTAATAAATTTTATTTTCTACCCGAGTTATTAAAAGTTTTGCTGAGATCACAACTTTTTTAAAAGGTTTCTATTATGCTGAAAATA